TTGATTATCTATATAATAAGGGAAGCTATATACTTTCTTATTCATACAACCTATGCACTCTAGATGGTTTGAGAAGAGAAATGTCCACTTTTAGTTCTATCTATTTCCAAAGTGCTTGAAATTGTGAAAAATAAGAATTGATTCATGTGTTACTCTTACAATTTTTTAATGCTGTTTGTGTCTTTAAAAATAGTGGGGTGGGAATTGGTGGGGGGCATATGGAAAACAGTTTGTCCTTACAGATGTTTCTACAACTGGCTCTGGCTTTTGGTCACATTTTTCCCTCTTAAAAGTCGATCCAAATATCTGTTAAAGTCAACCTTCTAAGCCTTCCAGAATTGTTTTCAGCTCATAGAAAAGGCTTTAACCTTTGACCTCTTTAGCTTTGGCCCCAGTATGTTTATGACTATTTTTAAATAGCCAAATTTTTGGTTGCTGTTGAAAGATATTTAGAAGATCATTTATAAGAGAAGAAACTTAAACTCTGGACCTTGACTCTGAACTTAAGAACACATGGCTCTGCATTCTTAGGCAGTGTAGTTGTTGGGTCAGTAACTAGTTAGAAACATCTACGCTCAAAAGCAGAAATGAATGCAAAGGAAATACAGAGACTGTTGACTCGAAATGAGAGAAAGCCTTCCCCCTCCAATGCCTCCTGCAGAATTTCTTAGTGTCCCTCAGGTATTTAGTCTAGAAAGACAAAAGATACATCAATACCCAGGGAACAGATATCATATGTGCACTTTCATCACAAAATGCAAGGAACACAAAGCTGATGGCCAAAACTATTCTTACCATCGTGATGAGTGCCAAGCTTCCTCCACCCTCCTGGCTCTCTCATATTTTTTCCAGCCCTGTACACCATCAACACCATCAGGCAGGCTCCCCACATGGAGCACTCTTGGAAGCCAGGGCAGCCCCTGGGCTCCCAGATGCTTGCATTTCCCCTTCATGGGCACTTCAACATTCTCAAGGAGCAAAGGGAGCCAGGAAGCATTATGAGAGCTAAACACAAGTGAGAGCACTCAGAGGCCTGGTTGCCTGTTCCTTGGGCAATAAAGCTGCTCTGGAAAAACCTTTCTGGCCTGTTTCAGTGGAAATTAAAATTAAAATAAATCAGAGGCAGCCTTAAAAAATGGACAAAAATATGCTTTTACATGTAGGCATATCAATTTCTACATGTACAGACCTACAATTAGATACATGTGTTCCACATTTTGTGCATCAATGGTAAGCACACATATGATTGATCCCAATACAAATGGCCAAGCACTAACAGGAGAGCTTTATTTGGAACTTCTGCAATTATGATAACTAGATATTTGACCAAAAAGCAATAGGGCAGTTTAAAGGCACAGAAAAGAGCATGGAAAAATGCACTGGGGTAAACTACCTTTTGACATCATTTCCAAAACACAGCCAGTAGTTTCTTGGTCATAGAAACAAGACGTTTAAAATATATCAAGCAATAATGCAAGATATGTTCTAGGTTAACATGCAGATGGGAGCCACTAGCTGCCACTTCTGCTGGATTTAGAGCAGGACAAAGACACATATTCCGAGGCCACACATTCAGAGAGGCAGAAGTTGAAGATGTTTGTGTGCAAAAATGGAGAGCCAAAGTGAACTCTCTTAACTTAAACAACAACAATTATCTGAAATAGCATGTGAGAACATAAGACAAAACCTGAACAAAATGAACTCCCGTGTATGGTCATTAATGATCTGGAATAATTGAACACAAAAGGTGGGGAGGGCTTTGAGCCCTTCAGAAACTTAGAAAAGCCCCCCAAACTCTCTTTAACCATTCACAGATGAGCTGTACTCCAAATACTGTTTTCTAATTACCAAACTAAAATGGGCAAAGTTGAAAATCCTCTGTGATCATTCATTCAGTCAATTAATGTTTATTGGGTGCCAACTGTGCATTTGGCACGGGATAAGTAGTGATGAAAAAGACCAGCATGAATGTTGTCACCGTGGGGCTCACAGTCTGGCCTACCTGTTCTAGATGGCACCACACCACTGGCATTTGGTTATGGTGAATCAACAGAACACAGAAAAAACCCTATGAAGCTTACAGTCACATAAACTCATCTCCAAAGAATGCACCACAGCCTGTTGGCTGTATTTTAAAGTCAAGGTTTAAGTCCCTAGTTTGGAATATAAAGATCACCTTCCCATGGAAGCAATGCCATCAATAATGTTTGGGTTCTCAGGTCAATCTGTGAGGCTGGAGTGGTCCTGTATTCAGCCATGATGTGATTTTAAGAGGTTTCTGGTTTGTGTTACCCAAGGCCCTTCAGTAGTATTAAACTGTAGTTTATAATCACGGATTGAAATGGTCAATGCTTAAGATTGAAGTGTGCAATGCTAGGGATGGGTAAGAAGATGTAATTGCCTGTGGGTGCGCTGGCAGCCCTCCTCTGCCTCAATCTGCCTGCAGGACAGGGAACACGAATGGGGACAGAATCTCCTGGAAGGTGCAGGAATTACACTTAAAATAACTCACTTGGACTCGACCCATTGGTTCTGGCCAAGACTATGCACATTTCATACCTGGTTACTCAGAAATCACAACTGACATATTTCTTAGTTATTTCAGGAAGTATAACAGTGTTTTTACATTTTCTTCCCTTTTTCAGACATGTTTTTCCAGCAGTAATCGTAGCGCTGATAGCATTTACAGTACATTAACTTACATGAATTTTTAAACACCACCCTTTAAGCAGTTTCACGTGTCCTCATTGCGTGAGCCTCATCTGCTCGAACCCCCAAAAGCGCCAACTCAGCATCTGACTAGTAAACCAACAACCTCAGCACAGGACAGTTTTGTTCAAATGATGGCACAGATAGGCATGCAGCTAAACATGGAAAAAGTAGCTATTCTAAATAAGAATGTGAGTCTCTGAGACAAATTTTTTAAATGATTTAATTTATATTTAGAATTAAGAGAGTGAAGCATGCTGCCTGAAGGAAATCATTTACTGGCTCTCTTACAAAGTTAAGCAAAATTTTTCTTATAATCCATTAAGAATGCCCTTAGGTTACATGTGTAAAATGTAGGTGCCTTATCAGTGATCGCCCCAAATTATCCAAATAAAATACTGTCGCCATCTCAGTGCCAGAGTCTCTGTATGAATATAATCTTCCCTGAATCCAATTCTCCTCCACTGAGCTACAGGGAATATGCTAACTTTCAGAGATCATTCAATCAGTCATTTTCCTAATACAAAGTTGGGGTGGAAAGAGGTTCTCAAAGCTGTCGCTGAGCTTCCTGGACGTGGACTATCCCCTCCCTGAAGAGCCTATCAGACAGAAGGATCTCAAGCTGAACTCTCAGTGTAAGAAATGGAGAGAGCTAGAAGATGGCTACTTCCAGTAAAAATCTATGCCTGGGACCATCCACTCCAACTGCTTCTAAGAAAAGGAAGCCCCTGATCAGAATGAGGACGGCAACACGTAATGGTAGGTGGCTGACATGCAGAGAGCAAAAGCCTGACACAGACTGGGTGCCAGCTGAACAGGTGGATCCAGAAAGGTGTGCGGGACAATGCGTAAGTTTGGTTTGCAATGCCTCTCCCGTGTCTTGTCACACTCAGAAAGAGAGCGGGTAGTCCATGCTTATCCCATGGAACAGTGATTCTAAAAGATATCCAAACAACACCAGCATCAGCATCCCTTGCAAACTTCTAGAAATGACCATTTTTAGGCCCACTGCAGACCTATTAAATCAGAAACCCTCAGGGTGGCCCAGAAATCTGTTTCCACAAGCCCTCCAGGAGTTTCTGATGCCAAGGCCAGTTTGTGAACCACCACCATAGGATTAATTAAAATCACTGTAGTATATAGTTCCTTTCCCAAGGCTCAGTCATAATTGGAAAATGAGAGATCTTTCCACCTCCAAAGGAAATGTCAAGAGTCAATAGACCAAAGAGGAGTCAGGTAGAGGTTTGGTGGGTTTGAGCTCCAGCTTGCCACTACTTCCCTCATTCATCTTGGGTTTGGAAATCTTGGTAACAGGCGTCAACAAAGAGAGAGTAGGAAAACATCAGGAACAGATCCGATCCACCCCAGGGCTCAGCGTACACTGGGCAACTTCTAGCTACTTAAACATTCTCTTCCAAGTAAACAAGACACATTAACAGTAGTTGTAATAAACCATACAGATCAAGGAAGCCTACCAGACTTTCTCTTCAATGCGACTAAGACACCATAAAACCTGCTTCACAGTTTTCCCAAGGTAGTGGCTATCCATAAGAGACCACACAAAATTCAACAATAACATATTAGTCAATATTACTTTAAACTTCTCAGAAAATGCTCTTAAACCACTAAAACTCTTGACTATAATGAGAACATATAAACAAGTCTCCCCTTAAAATTAATTTTTACTCTCTAAAAGAGACCAGTGATCTATTGTTGGGCAACATAATCCCTAATTTTTAATCAAGCACTCAGAATTTTTCCACTTTAAAAGAAAAGTCACTCATTCATAAAGCTTTGAGGCACCACCAATGGCTATTGTTCTGCTTCCCAGCACCATTCAAATTTCAAAAGATGAGAACCTGAAAAAGCAGTAGCAGCACCAAAAGCACACCACAAAAGATCTAGGAGTCAAAATGAACAGCAGAAAGATCCTTTCTGCACAAAATACATCATCCATCACTAGCCTACTGCCTCGGAGCCTTGCCTGCCTTTCTGAAACAAAAGGGAAACTTGGGTACTATTTACCTTTGTCATCATGAGTCCCTCAATACTCAAGAAACCAGTTTTGTGTCTTCTGGGACAACTGTCCTCATTGGAAAGTGGGTAGTGCTGAGTAATCAACATTATTTTCCTTTGTCTTGATTTGTAGTATCATATCCTTGTTGCTATTTTTCAGCCTTAAAACCTAGTGATTGTAATTCAAGCTGCTTCCTTCTTTAGTGGTAATTAGCATTAGTCATAAGCCAAAAATGATTTCACATAAGCAGTAAAATAAACACAACCCTCCTTACCTTTCATGCCAAACTTGGAATGTCTTGCCAACTTCAGCAGAAACAGCATTACCAGCAAACAAAATCCCACTACAGAGGCGATCACCACCACAGCATAGACCTAGAGAGAGGGAGGGAGAGCAGTTACAGCCTTGCTAACGAGTTCCCTCCACCCAGAAGATGAAGGTGATGACAGTTAATATTTATGGAATGCTTACTACAACTTGCTCTCCTAAGAACTGTATGTACGTCAATTCACTTAATCCTCAACAACTCTACAATGAAGAATGGAGGTCCTATTATTATTCCTACTTTACAAATGAAAAAATATATATAAGCTAAGGCTATAGAATGGCTACCTAATTAATATTATATAAAGATACAGATATATGTAACTGACATATGTACAGATACATGTAATATATCTATGTTGAGTTATACATGTAGATATTGAATATATCTCTATCTCTTCCTACCTATCTACCTACCTACCTAGCTGAAGAAGGGAAGAGAAAAATATGAATAAAAAATACTAATAATTTTTGAAGTTGGTGAAAGATATAATGGGATTCATCTTGCTGCTCTTGTTACTGTGGTACATGTTTAAAAAATGTTCATAACAAAAATATTTTTTAGATTGGCTATTGTTGCTCTTAGAAGTCAGGGTCTCCTGGAGCAGTGAGTAGGCCCAGAAGGGAGCAAGAGGGCACTTGCGGGTGACTTCACTTGTGAAAGATCATTGGGTTATACATGTATAACATGAGCTTTTCTCTGTATGTATGATAGAGGTCAATAAAAAGGCTTTTTAAAATTTAAAAATGTAATTGCAAGATGTGGATTATGCAAGTAGAGAGCGTAAGGGCAGATCTCTGTGAGCCCTGTCACGACCCTGAGTTGGGGGCTGCTGAGGCACCCACGCATGAAGCTAATGAACACACACTAACATTTTAGAAACAAAGGTGGATGCAGGGCTGCCTATCTCCTGCCATTCCTACTGCTCACTTCAAGGCTCTGCTCCCAAGAGAAGTTTGATTCTCTAAACTGGGAGGTGGCTAATATTTGTTGAAAAGGCAGATGATTTCATTGCTACAACAAGATCTTACATTAAGCTAGTGGTCCTCAAACAGAGAAAATATGGCACCCAGCAGACACTTTGCAATTTGGAATTGTGACAACTAGGGGAAACGTACTACTAGCACCTAGTGGGTTGAGGCCTGGGATGCCGCTAAACATCCTAAAGTGCCTAGGGCACCCCCCTCTCGACAACAAAGATTTAGTCATTGACAATAACAAATGTCATTAGTGCCAAGGCTGAGGACTGCTCTAGTGCTCTCTTCATCTCTACCATATTAAATGCTGCTTTTCCAAGAGGTGGCTGCTTATTAGCTAGTCTTGCAATAAGGACAAGGCTGATAGAACCCCCTGCTAATACATGTAATGAAGCAAGAAATTAACCTTTGTTTTTTTAAGCCACTAATATTTGGGAATTTTTATTACTGCAGCATAGCTTATCCTGACTGATACACCTATCTCACAGTGAGGGCTGTATAGAGTAAAGATTAAGAATTGTTGGAAACTGCTCTGCCTGGTTTCAGGAATTATAACTACCCCCCATGGCTAAGGATGAGCGAGCGACCTCTGGAATGTGAGCCACAGGAGACAAAAGCTTGTCTCTGGTAGCAAATGCTACCTCAGCTTACTCCCCTGCCCCCAAAAGCACGGTCAGTGTTGATGATGGTAAGACTCCTCATAGCGAGGGGCAACCTAAGCCAGACTCAATCACTTGGGAGGCCTTTGTGGAAGAACTCGGGGGGCTGTGACAAAGAGGAAGCAATGGACCCTTGCCCCCCAGCTATGTGACATAGCCTGAGTCCCCATGTCCTCTGGGAGAAGTGCTTCCTGGCTCTAATCCCCTTAAATCTGAAAACCTGTATGGGGAGGAGTGCCCCTCTTTGCCTTGCCAGAGCGGTATCCAGGGGAAATTGGCATAAGAAAGAATTCCTAAAAGTCCTGTGAAACCTGCTTTGCTAGGAGTACTTTCATTCATATGTTAAGGGTCCGAGCAGGAAATGAGTATGTCTCCCAAAGTTTCTGCAAACCCCCTTTCGTGACAGACACTGACTCAGACTAAGCCCTCAGATGTCTTTGAAATGTCATCTATTCTTTGATCCTTGCTGCCCTACATTCCTGTGTATTACAACCCAATAAAAGCCCCTGGAGGAAGGGGCTCCTGGCATTTTTTTCTCTGAGAAACTGGCCACCTCTCCTCCCCAAGCAGGTCATGTCTTAGTAGTGTTTACTTTCATCCATGATGGACAGGGGCACTTGAAGGCAAAGTTGCCCCCACAAAGAATATGGGTTCTTCCAGAGGATCGCAGTTCAATTCCCAGGCAGGGCACATGCCTGGATTGCAGGCCAGTTCCCTGCAGGCCAGTTCCCAGCAGGGGACACACTATTGGCAACCATACATTGATGTTTCTCTTCCTTTCTCCTTCCCCTCTAAAGATAAATAAATAAAATCTTAAAAAAAAAAAAAAAGAGAGAGAATATGGGTTCTTGCCCTGGCTGGTGTGGCTCAGTTGGCTGGAGTGTCATCCCATAAACTGAAAACTCCCGGGTTTGGTTCCAGGTCAATGCACATGCCTAGGTTGTAGATTTGGTCCCTGGATGGGGTGCATGCATATGGGAGGCAACTGATCAGTGTTTCTCTCACATCAATGTTTCTCTCTCTCGCTTCCCTCTCTGTCTGGAATCAGTAGACATATCCTTGGGTGAGGATTTAAAATATATATATATTTTTTTTCTTCCTGACTTTGAAATTAGATTTACCATTCATTAGCTACATGGCTTCAAAATTACTTAACCTCTCAGCATCTCATGATCTTCATGTGTAAAGAAGGAAATATAATAATTCTACCTTGCAGATTATAAATTCTCAATGAGTTAACACAGATAACAGGACACAGATAAACTTGGAACAGTATCTGTCTACAATAGATAATAAATCAATGTCAACTATCATAATAATCATAACAATAATAAAACAGATTAAGAAAACATTTAATAAGCAGCCCAGTATCACACCTTTGAATATTGGCACTTGAACCAAAATCTGCCCAAATATAAATCCTGCAATTTACTCATTATACTTTCTCTCCAAAGCATGTGGCTGAGAGTGAAGCCAGGATAATAAAAGCACATGGCTAATCCTTCTACAACACCTTCTCTGATGTCAGATGGAAACAGCATTAAAGAAGTCCCAGAACACAGAAAAAAAGCACATGGAAAGCACTTGGCCATAGTAGAGCGAAAGTGTAATCATTCTCCTCTCTGGTGTTTCAGCTGTGAGTGGCTTCCCCACAGAAAGCTTTTGCAAGTGTCTGAGTATACACCAACCTCTCTTCACAGTCTATAAACAAACCAAATGGTAATGATTCCTGAAAAGCTAGTTGTGGATCAACTTGTTCTAACCAAGGTCATTTCCCTTGAATTTGTCTAATAATTCTGGCGATTTAAAAAAAAACTTTATTTCTAACATTTTCATGGGAAAGAGATCACTGGGTTTTTTAAAAATTTTATCCTCACTTGAAGACTTGCTTATTGATCTCAGAGAGAAAGGAAGAGAGTTAAAGAGAGAAACATTGATATGAGAGAGAAAGATCTATCTGGTTGCCTCTCACATGCGCCCTGACCGGGGTCAGAACCCACAACCTAGGTATGTGTCCTGACCAGGAATCAAACCATGACTTTCGGTTTATGGGATGACACTTCCACCAACTGAGCCACATTGGCCAGGGTGAGATCAGTATTTTAGCTCTAAGTTCTCTACCCTATTATTAGATTCCAGACTTCTGCAGGTAGACAAAGAATACCTAAAGATACAAACTTCGACTCTATTTTATAGATAAGAAACCTAGGATGGAGAAAGGTTAAAGCACCTAGCCTGAGTTCCAGGACCTCTCTGTAGTCCCATGGCAGCCTCTTGTCTCTTCAGAAAGCACATGACTAGTATTCAGGAGATCTGAGGCCTTCTGTTCGCAGGACACCTTACCAGCTAGGACAGAGCCTCCGCTTCTCCAAGCCCCCATTTCCTCATCTACACTTGGCAGTGAGAATATCTGCCCTGCCTTTTCTACATGGCTAACGAATGCTTCATCCAACCTAGAAAATGAGAAGGGGGTCTACTGCTGAAAAGCAATTAATGGTCTGCCAACAAATATTTAAACCTGTTGAAGCAGTTGTAAATGTAGAGAATCCTTTAGTAAACAAAGATTCTTATGATAATGGGAATAATAATTCCCTCAAAAATGGCTCCATAAAAAGCAATTTCATGTACTGTGAATGTGTTGTGGTGAGAGTGTCTCTGTGTGGGGGATTAGCTGGGGTGAGATATGCCAGTTAGGGACTTAAATTAATGTCTGGATTCAAAGGAGAAAAATGTAAGTTGACATAATTATTAGTAACTGGGATGCCTGTGGGCTTAACATGTGCTCTTGAATGCCTATGGACACACACAACTTTCTTAAACCAAAATACATTAAGTGGTTCAGTATGAGAAGAAAAACAGAAATAATTGCACAAGGCAGGAAATGAAGGCATTCCACTTTTGACTTACCACAGCATTTGTCCTGCTATTTTATTATAAAGTATATTTTGATGTAAAGCATATAGTCATCTGTGGAAATATGTGTGTGTCTCCCTATATGGGATGAGCATATTGTGAGCCTCCCATTGTCATGGCCATAGCCCTGGTTTAAATACACTCCACACCTTTTTATTACTGTACCAGACCCTTAACTCATCAGGCCACTTCCAATCTCTCTGTCTGCCACCCCGGTCTATAGCATTCACCAAGAATCTTATCAGCCTGATTGTTTACTGAGGACCTCCTAGGTGCTGGTCATTATTCTAGTAGCTGGGGATATGGTTGTGAAAAATCTTGACCAAGAATTGAGGGAAAGGAAAAAGACATTAAACAAGTAAACAAATAAACAAGCAAGGTCATTGTAGACATGGATAACGACTCAGAAGAAAAAAAACAGGGTAATGGCTGCCTGCTGACACCCTTGATAAGTCATGTGATGACCTGCAGGAAGTGCATGCTTTATAAAGACGACAGCAAATGCTAGGCTCTGAGATGACAGTGAGCCTGGAGCTTGCAAGAGAGTGTTTTAAAAATACAGCTGGTGGGCACTGAAGAGATATGGGAGATGAAGTCAGAGACAGAGGCCAGCAAGATATGTCGGACCTTGTTACCCACTCTGAGGAGTTGGGCTTTTATAATAAAAGTTTTATGACGATGTATGGGGAAGATTCTGAGAATGAAAATGAGCAATCTGATTTGTGTTTTTAAAAGGTCACTCAGGCTTCTGTGTAGAGAAAGGAAGAGGACAAGGGTGTGAGAGGCAGACAAGGCAGAAGGGGGACAGAGTCATCCATGAATGAGCAGTGACACACACTCTCTCTGTAAAGGACCAGACAGCTAATGTTTCTTGCTTTGCAGGCCACACCGTCTTTGCTGCAGCTACTCCACCTGCCATTGTGGCACAAAAGGAGCCACAGACAATATGTAAACAGACACGACTATATTCTGATCAAACTTTATTGATGAGCAGACATCTTAATTTCATAAAATTTTTATGTGTCATAAATCATTTTTCTTTTGATTTTTTTCTCAAACCACTTAAAAATATAAAAACTATTCTTAGCTTTCAGACCTCAGAGAAACAGGTCATGAGCCAGAGCTTGGCTGGCAGGCCTTAGTTTGCCAACCCTCGAGTTAGCCTGCGGCCGTGGCAGTGCAGGTGGGGACGTACGGATGGGTTTGGAGTTTACAAGGAAGCAGAGCTCACAGGATGGGCAACTGGGAGCACACTGCAAGTGAAAGAAAGGGAGACGTGGAGGAATCGTACTGGGTTTTTACCTGAGCAGCTGACAGATTGCCCTGCCACAGAACCTGGGAGCCCTGTGACCCTGGGGCTCTCACAGGCCCCTTTCAGTGTCTCCTCACTGCGCAGTGCATCTAACCACCTGGCCCTGTGTTTGAAAACCTCACGACCTGGCACAACCAACTTCTCCAACCTTGCCTCCAACTGCTGCCTTTCGTCTGCCTTGCCTTCCATCAAGACTGTTTTCCAGTCTGCAGGCTCTTGTTCACACACCTCAAATCCCTTCCCTTCTGTTCCTCTTTGTCCAAATCCCAGGCATGCTGCACAGGCCACAGAAAATGCCACCTGTCCCACAAAGACTCCTCTGGCCCTCCCAGCAGGAAGGGGCAGAGCGCCTGCCCCCTATTTCTGTTTCTCAAACCACACACCACTCCTCCATTTGTACGAAGTGCTAGTGTTCACATTTCTAACCACTGACGGAACTTCAAGCTCCAAAAAGAATGGACCTTAGTTTCATTCATATTGTTTATATTCTCCTACATATATCCACATATATCCTTACATGTGGTGGGCACTAACACTTTTATTAAAATATTTAAGCAGAGAGGTGTGGAAGATAAAAGTAATTAATTATATATGTGCCTATACAAGGAAGCTGCTTTCTTGCTCTTCTAATGAAGATATTATACAGAAGATATTAAATATCTTACAGCTCAGATATTTAAAACAGGAACCTCCAGCATTAAGTCAGAGGCTACCTTTATCACTGCTCTTAAACCTTTCCATTAGTTTCGCCGAACTGCAATGCCCTGTTTCCATCTGAGCAATAAAAACGTCCTGTTGAAAGATTTGCCCTGAAGCAGCTCCAAAGGTCTTCTTTCAGTTGTTTATTTAATTTTAGACAAATATTTTGAAAAAATACAAAATAAAGACAATATGATAGCTACCCGCAACATGCAGGCATCCAAAATGCTGAGAACCAACCTAGGAAATAATTCTCTGTCTCACTCACCGAGAGATGCTCCCGGCCCCTTTTGTTATCATTGTTTCTGGAAGAATTTTCATTACTTCTGTTCGTGGTGTCCCCGATGTCATTTGCTACAGTTCCATAATCTTAAATCGGAGAAAAGGGAAAGAGAAGTAACCATGAAGTTGTCATTAGGCTGTCAACAAACACAAGGCCATAGTACGACCCAAGAACAAAGCCAGACAAATCACAAGATTTCAAACTGCTGACAGCCCAGCTAGAGAGGAATGGGACCCAGCTGTCGGGTTAACTCCCTTGTGGCGCTGGGGCTGCACGGTGCCAACACTGAACAATACTCAACCCAGATCTCTACATCCTCGTCCTGTTTTGTGGTCAAATTCTAAACCTGCTTTAGGATTTTTCTCTGCACACAAGAATATGCCCCTTTCTGATAAAGTATTTAATATAAATACAAAAGAGAATCAATCGTCTTAAGAGTCACAAATTTATAGATCAAGTCTGTACATGTTCTGTATAAATATATAAATGTTTTGTATTTTTACTCTAAATAGATATGGTGTCTATAATATGTATTCTGAACAAACAACCTCATTAAGTCAGTCCCAGCTAAACTTCGCTGGATAGAATTTTCACACAAGCCTTGGGGTAACCAATTTAAATTATGTGTTTATTAGCAGAGAGTCCCTTTGAAATTGGATGAGTAACAGAAAAAGCACCTATTTTCTGTTTCCTGTTTTGTTACTGACTGTAAAACTACATTCTCACCATTTCCATTGTTAATATATTAAAACTTAATTTCAAACACTAAGAGATATCATTTACTTGCTTATTTTTCCCTCTTCATATCATACCCAGCCACTCATGCAAAATTAAGTCTCTGTAGGTTAATATAAGGACATTCCAACCCAAAGACCCAAAGTGGTATCTGAGGCCAATGGAAAGATGACACTAAGTCTCGAAATTACTAGAAAAGAGTCCAGAGCATAATTTTAAAATGTGAAATCATAATTCAAACATATTTATTTATGATATAATTTGAGATACTCTTCCTGTAAACCATATCAAGACAAATAAAAACAAGGACACAAAAATCACATGCACAAAATCATCCAAACCATAGCATGAACAAATCATATCTTACCATGTATAAAGCAGGTAAAGACAACATAATCCCCAGTTAAAATTAGCTCAAGTTAAATGCACATATAATAAGCACATAAACACAGAATCATTTATAAAAAACTCAATGTGCATATAAAAATTAAAATTGAAGAATAAAATATTTCATGAAATAAATACATAAATATAATATTTTAACTACTCTAACTTTTAATCAATCTTAAAGTTTGAGCCAAGTCTTGAAAGTTAACCTGCCACTTCCCCAGCAGAGGCCTCCTGGTCAGAAAGGTGGCTTAAAAATCTGCTAACGGTGGATTCTCACAACTGGAAAAACTTCCCGACATTTTATTAAAATATCAAAATACAGATGAGATGTTCAGTTAAAAGTTAATATAGTGAACCTTTGGTGTCCTCCCTTCCACATTCCTAAAATAACACCATTTTATTCAAGGGGTTCAAGCACATTCTCCAGGGAAGCTGGTCTAAGGTAGTCAAGGGTTAATCCATCCCATTTACCAGTAATGGAGGCAAGATGAATCATGGCCCAACTGGAGGCCCAGATGGAGGTTTCTGGAAACATTTATCTTTCTTCTGGAGTCCTTTCAGAAACTCTCCCCTTTCTCCCATCAATGTGAATGACTGTATCCCCTCTGTTGACTGCATTCAATAACCCATAAAGGGGGGCCAGTCATCAGTGAAATCAGAACAATGGGCAGAGGAGGGTAGAAATGAATAAAAGCTGGACTCCAATTACATGACTGAGCTGCTGGTTTAACCCACCCTAAACTGCCCTACCTCCGAGGTCCTGTCTGTGAGCCAAACTTTCTTATTATATAAGAAACATAATTTTGAATTGGGTTTACTGTCATAACTAGAAACTGATACACTACCCTTTTCTTGGTAGCCATGGCTTTTAAACAGGTAATTAGTTCCCAGTTATGGAAACAAATTGTCTGTTACAGCAGAATGGATTTACTACTTCCAAGAACAGAGCATGAGAGAGAAAATGCTATTTACAGGCACTGTAAATATCAAGGGGAAAAGGCCATCAATATTGAATGATTTTTTCTGAAATGTTATTTTAGCCTATGTAATGATTGAAATGCATATTTAACTGAACTTCAAGGTCTTCTTTCAGTTGATTTATTTCATGCTATACAAATTTTTTGAGTAAATACAAAATAAAGACAACATGATAGCTACCTTCATAAATTACCTCAGGATAGTTTGGGTCTGCACCTGAAAAAGCAAAACAAAGCAAAGATCTGTAAGTGTGCGTACAAAGTTTGAAAAGTACTATCTTATACCCACAAAATGAGCTAAATGTACATTGAAGATTTTATGAGTGAATAGATTGTTCTATAGAACAGGTAAATAAAACCTGAAATTCTCAGTTTGCTTCATGTTAACTCTGTTCCCCTCCCCTGTCCCACAACCTCCATCCCTCTAAAAAAGAAAAAGATAAAGAAAACCCACAAATCACTTTAGCTGGCAAAACTTCAGCAATCAATGAATCATGACCTTTTATTTTTGCTGTTTCTGTTACATAGTTGGCTATTTTCACTGCAGTTTTGGTTGTTTTCATCCCAGAGACAGATCATTTCTGTATCACTCTTATTATTCTCTGATGATTTGGGAGTAACTTTCCAACAATGTTTTGGCAGGTCCATTTGCATTAGTGAACTCATTATCACCTGGCCTGCGTGAAATCTAAAACACAATCTTGCCCTCTGCTTGGTCTTCAAGGAGGCTGTGAAGGCTGAATAGTCAGACCCATTTTTCCTTTCTCTCTTTTTTTTTTTGCCCTGACACACACAAAAATAAATGTACTTTCTCTACTGAAATTATTTATGTATAAGAGATTACAAATTAAAATCTCAAATAGAAATCCAAAGTATACCCACTTAATTTTTTTGGATCACTCTGTATTCACCAAGGTGATCAGACTATTCTCTTTAAAATAGTCCCATGAGAATTTGCAGTAGCATTTTTTAATCTTTTTTAAAATTTTATTTTATTGATCTATTTTTAGAGAGAGGGGAAGGGAGGGAGAAAGAGAGGGAAAGAAACATCATTGTGTGGTTGCCTCTTGTGCACCCCACACTATGGACCCAGCCTGCAACCCAGGCATTTGTCCTGACTGGGAATCAAACTGCCGAACCTTTGGTTCGCAGGCCAGCACGCTATCCAGAGTCACACCAGCCAGAGCACATTTTTTAATCTTTTTAAAAATCACTGTCAACAAGAACTAGTGACAAAAAATATTTCCTACTTATTCTCCATGCAGAACGAACTGTGTCTCTCTATGAAAGTCTACTTAGAAAGAAAATTAAATTTTGATGTAACATTTAAGTGATTACAAAATAAATTTCCAAAGCTACTTCCTATGCTTTTAGTCTTCACTTAACACGCGAAAACATAAAACTTGTAAACCTTAAATCTCACTCAGTTCTCATTTCACTTTTGAACCTTTAGCAGAAAAAAAATATCATTTTAAAATAAGGCGAAACCAGCCCATTTTCTGCTCCTGTATCCCCTAGAGAATAATTAAGGTTTGGCCTGAATGAAGAACCAAATAAATACGGCCCTGATATTTAAATTAAAATTCTAACACAGTGCAACTAGAAGAGCATCTACGTTAGCAGGAGAAAAATCAAACAGGTGATGGAGCGCTCTGCCGTAGGGGTGCTGCACACGTGTGTGCAGCTCTCAGAAGCGCCTCGTGGGCCGCTGTCTGCGTGAAAGGCGCCGTCTGCAACTGCACGGCGCACAGCTGTGCGGCACGTGAAGTGGCCCTGCATTGATTCATGCAAAATCATCGATTCCAGATAAATTTCTACTGCATTTTTAGTTTTATTACCCCAGATGCCATTTCTACATGTCAGGCTGCAATATGTATATATTGTCAGAATTATTGGTAGCTGCTGTGACATTCCAGAGGAGGGCCCTGAAGACTGCCCTGAAGTTTGAGAGGTAATTCAGTGAATCTCAGGGACAGCCCTGTTCATATCATTTGCTGGGCAGCCATCCACATGCTGATGTCCTTTCCCTTTGCAAAGTTTCTGGACCAAATGGTGTCCCCTCACTGTGAGGATTTCTTACCCCTGCTGAAGGAAAAGTCCTATAACCTCAAGCCAGGAAGTCATTCTTTGAAATTCTCAGTAACCTATTACTTTAAGGAATCCCATTCCGGTCCCTTTCTCCATTGTACCCTCAAATGTACAGTCTGAATGTACAAGGCCTGCCCACCAGAGCCCACTCTTCACTGCCAGACCTCACTCCAGGTGCCCAGGACCCAGAATTCCCTCCCCACAGACCCCAAATACATGCGATAGGGTTGGCCAAACTTTCCCCTACATCTGTCATCCCACTGGTGGCCCACTACCAGTAGGAGCACCTTGTGACCCAAGACAAAAAAGGGAGGGAGGGCTGAGGGTTGAGCCCGGAGAGATGGGCTTGGTGTCCACATGCTCACTCATTACCTCTCACACATGTCCACCAAATAGCTCATGGAGCAGGGACCATGGATGAGGATCATCTCTACCAAAACCACTATGAAGGGTGATGCCCCCCACATGGAATTATCTTCTGGAGGGTAGGCCCCTTGCAGTACAGGCTTCCCCTGCTGGGTGAGTGTTCTGGGAACCCATCTGTGTCAGTGTACCAGTTGGTGTTATGAGAGGCTGTGTTCAGCTTCAGTGAATTTTTAAAATTCTTCCAATGCATTTGCCCATACTGTGCTGGGTATTCAGCAGTTTTTGCCCAAAAACGCGTGACCCCTGTGCCCCACCCTCCCTATTCACCCAATCTCACTCTGAGTGACTATTTTTTTTCCCCTGGATGAAAAAAGTCCTCAAAGGGAAATGTTTTGCTGATGTCGAAAATGTGAAACAAAAAACAGCAGAAGCACTAAAAGGCATCAAAATCTATGAATATTGGAAACTGTTTTGAAAAGGCAGAAAACTATACTTGAACAACAATACATTTTTTAAAGTTAAAAAAATAATAAATTAAAAACAAAAACTGTTTTGAGCAGTAGAAAAAACATCTCAATAGCTGTACTGCACCAAATGGAGAGTACGTTGAAGGGGATGAAGTTTAAACATGGGAGAATGAATACACAGTTTGGGGGCCCTCCCTTGTGTGTTCCACAGTGGAACCCCAAACGTCTGACAATGCGAACTTCAAACCTCACTTTCTGGCTCATGAAGATATAATTGGAGGAGGATCATCTATTTTATTTAATAATAACTTAATTTGATTTATATTTTTAAGTGTTTAGATATAAGTGTGAGGATCTTCTTTTGTACTAGGGTGGCCCACCATCCCAGACTGCCTGAGACCAAGGGGATTCCTGAGACACTGGACTTAAAATTTTAAAACTGGGATAGTCCCAAGCAAATCCCCGCAGTTTGTCAGAAATAAGGCTTTCTCCGAGCAGACTTTTAATGCTAAAACTGGGACTAGTCAGTCACCCTGACTTGTGCTCAGGCCCGCAGAGACCTCATACCCATCACCACCCACTTTTACAGATACGATTCCCTAAGAAAGTAGTAAGACATCGTGAGGATGCGGAGCCAGGTTTATCTAAGCCACACAGTGACAGGGCCTCAGTGAAAATGACTGACAGGTGCCACCGGCATCCTCACAAGAAAAGGAACACCCAACACATTCCTCACAGAAAACTCCCGGAAAAATCCAAAACATCAAAACAATTAGTCAAGTATCGAAAAGTGGGATTTGGGGGTAGGATCTAAAATACATAAATTAGCCCATAATCTGTAACACCGGTTATCTTCCAGACTTCTGATGCCTATCAGTGCATGCTTTTCCTACTGACTTTACCAGCAAAGCCATCAGGTCACATCTAAAATTTCTGAAAAGCACTACATTTTTCTAACTTCAGTTTCCTAGCTGCATGAAATGTATTGTCACTTGACTTTCACTGTCAGGAATAGCCAAATTTAGCACAAGATTATGAAACTCACAGAAAGACAAGGTGGGAGGAACAATGATGGTTCTTTCCCCCTCCCTAGCATACTGTACTATGTCTGATGAGGGCCCACTCGTCACAATCAAGAAATGCCTCCTCACGTACAAAGGTCTGGGGAGCCTGGCCCAGGGAGAGCAGAGACTGAGAGTTTATGAAAAACAAGGGTCAAGTTACTCCCACTGGCCCCAGCTCATCCACATGGCATTTTGCTTCTAGCAATGTCTCAGTGAAGTGGACCTCCCATGATATTCACATTTCCATAGTGAGGGAGTTAGTAACATCATTTTAAATGCAGGCACAGGGACAAACATCACCACTTTCCTTTCCGATTTCTGGGAATGGTCCAATTTGTAAAATATCCTGCTATTATTAAGTATAATTTATAACTGGTATCTTTTACTTAGTTTAACTATGACTGTCACATAACATTGTTTTATGCTTCGGGCAGAAACCCCTGTCGATATTCAGGACTGGAAGGTGACTGAGGAACGGCAAAGACTATCTCTGAGGGAGAAGAAGCCAACAGAAAGAGGATGAATGAAAGATAAATGAATAGCATCCAGCTTGAGTAATGCACTTGTCCTGGGGATTTGAGAAGGGATACGCTTCCTTGAAACCTGTCCTACTAGCTCTCATTGGGTAAGAAATCTCAAACAGAGGCAACAGGAGGGGGCACCAACCCCAAAAGCTGCACAGAGGGAATCTCTGGAAAGAAATATGGGAATCTGGGAAGTCCAGGCACCCCACTGGCATTCCAAACAAGCCACAGACCACATTCTCCCTCGATAGTCCACTCAAGGGCCAGAGCTGCAGCCGTTTGCCAACCTAAAGAACATGAGCGCGGAGCAGGAATGTCTGCTTATCTGATGTCCAAGTTCTATTTTCTGAAGAGCTGAGCATCTCCAAGTGCTACAGTCACTTGTACGTAGGTTCTCGACCTAAGGCATGGTGTCTGTGACTATAGGAAGAAGACAACAGGTTCAGAGCTCAGCCTGCAGCACTTCCTTGAAAGGAATAATGGAGACTGTATTCCAGTTGCACATGCAGTCCCGGCAAAGCTCTGCATTAAACCTGTCTGAATCCCCAGGCACTTAGGCTTCTAAACATGGTCGATTAAAATCACTTTTCCCCTCAACAGTATCAAACCAGAGCCCTTCATCATCCTTATAATGTGATGCTAAATGGCTTAAATGAGGACTTCTTTAATTTCCACCTTCTAAACTCAGTTATGGCTCATGAGTAAATC